GCCACCAGCGCCCGGCTCCAACTGTGGAGTTTCTGTGTGTGACTATAAAGTAACTACCAGAAAAATAATTTTTCTTGGGGCTGGGAAGGTGGCTCAGTGGTAGAGCGCTTGCCTTGCATGACTGAGGCCCTGGGTTCGATTCCTCAGCACCACATAAGAAAAAAGCCGGAAGTGGCGCTGTGGCTCAAATGGTAGAGCGGGAGCCTTGAGCTGAAGAGCTGAGGGACAGCGCCTAGGTCCAGCGTTCAGGCCCCACGACCGGACCAAAAAATAAATAAATAATTTTTCTTGTGTGGCTTTGGAGACTGGCTTAGATGGGGGGAAAGATGGATCCAGAGAGTTGACTTCTTGGGTTGCTAACAGTTGGCAATTCTCCTTCTTTTTTTGAGTCTTTCTTTTTTTTTTTTTTTGGGGCCGGGTCATGGGGCCTGAACTCTGGGTCTGGGCACCGTCCCTCTGCTCTTCAGCTCAAGGCTAGCACTCCACCACGTGAGCCACAGGGCCACTTCCGGCTTTTTTCTTTTTGCTTATGTGGTGCTGAGGAATCGAACCCAGGGCCTCAGGCATGCAATGCAAGCACTCTACCACTGAGCCACCTTCCCAGCCCTTTATTTTCTTTTTATTACTGTCTTTAAGTAGTTGTATAGAAGAGTTGCCTTTTTTTTTTTCTTTTTCTTTTTCTTTTTTTTTGTTGTTGGTCCTAGGGCTTGAACTTAGGGGTGCTGTCCCTGAGTTTCTTTTGCTCAAGGCTAGTACTTCTGAGACACAACTCCACTAGTAGCTTTTTTGGTAGTTTGGTGGAGATAAAATGTCTCACAGACTTTCCTGCCCACGAAGGCTTTGAACAATGATCCTCAGATCTCAGCCTCCTGAATAGCTAGGATTATAGACATGAGCCACTGGTGCCTGGCTTCAGGAATTGCCAAAGCCATTTGTGAGCATAACATTTCTCTTTTGTTTTTTTTGGTTCCGGTCGTGGGCCTGAACTGTGGGCCTGGGCACTGTCCCTCAGCTCTTCAGCTCAAGGCTAGCGCTCTACCACTTGAGCCACAGCGCCACTTCCGGCTTTTTTCATTTGCTTATGTGGTGCTGAGGAATCGAACCCAGGGCCTCATGCATGCAAGGCAAGAGCTCTACCACCGAGCCACCTTCCCAGCCCGCATAACATCTCTTGATCATTGTCATTGGACAACTTTTTTTTTTTTTGTACCAATCCTGGCAACTGAACTCAGTGCCTGAACACTGTCCCTGAGCTTTTTTTGTTCTAGGCCAGTGCTCAACCACTTTTGAGCCACTGCCCCACTTCTGGCTTTTTAATGGTAATTTGGAGATAATTGGGCCACTTGGGCTAGCTTTGAACTGTGATCCTCAGGTCTCAGCCTCATGAGTAGGATTACAGGTGCAAGCCACCAGCTTCACGTGCAACAGTTCTCTTAATTTTAGGACTAGTGATTTGAAAGCACCTGCTCATTTCTCCATAGCTCAGGTGCTGTTGAATTTCTCAGAAAAGTGTCATCGTACACACCAAGGCCTTTTGTTATTTGTTCATTTATTTATTTAAAAATCAGTAGTCCTTTTCAGAAAAGCACATTTTTTTTTTTTTTTTTT